GACCTTTTCGCAGAAGTTTCCGAAGTGAGTTTATATTGATGTACGCGATCGACAGCGAACTCCAATATGCGCAAAAAACCTATCTCTATTGATTCCACGGCAGATAGCCTAAAGTGCGAACTTTAGGTTATCTGAAAGAGAAGTCTAATAAATGGATATATATATATATATATATAACTAACTGCAGACAGTACTGTTTCGGCCTTCTGGGCCTCATCAGTGCAGTGCTAATGCTAGGATGGGGGAGAACCGAGACGGTCACCCCAAACGACCCAACCTTTGTGGTATCGTCTAAGCCATGCCAGAGTGCTCAAACTAGAGTAAACCAGCTATATATATATATAAGAAGCATTTCTTATATATATATATAAGAAGTGCTATCGGACCTTTTTAAGAGAGAATTCTGCTTCCCCGACTCTTCACCGTTTTTTGTCCCCCTTTCTTCCTATCGACTTCAAACTTGACAATTTCTGGAAATTGGTTAGAGATGACTTTTCTGAAAACTACAAGAATGATGTGTTGGGGTGAGTTGTCCTTCGGGCCATTAAAGTCCGCGATTCCCTAAAACATTGGGGCTATAGTGATTCTGATAAATGTGCCTACTGCTCTCGAAAAGAAACAATTGATCATTGTTTTCGTAATTGTTCCAGTGCTAAAAGAGTGTGGTCGTATTTTTCTCCTGTGATCTCCTCTTTCCTTGGTAATTTCTTCCCCTCTTTTACTTATGTTTTCTTTTTTCAGTGGGCTCCAGCCAGCCCAAAAAAAAGGCGCGATTGGCCCGTTTTCTTCTCAAAACGATCTTGCATTGCATTTGGAAGTCTCGTAATAATACTACTTTTCGCAGTGGAAAGGAAAATCATAAGGGTATAATCCGTTATATCTTCAATACTATTAGGAAGAGAATTCTCTGTGACCACTTTCGTCTCTGTTTATCTGACTTTCAAATTTGTGGGAAGCTCCAGCACTATGTCAAGTAGACAATACTGCTATTAAAATTCTCGTGTAAGTAATTAATAGTTGATTTAGTAACTAATTTAATAAATAGATTAATTGTTTAACGGTTAGTAGCATCACTACATTAGTCTTTTAGTGGCATTAATATTGTATTCATGGGGGTCATTCCCATTGTGGAAGGTATACTTATTTCGAAATTTCCAGATGCTGTACAGAATTGTCTTAATTAGAAAGCGAGCAATACGATTCTGATTTGGGCTAACGGGGGTCCGACGAAAAAAGAAAACATATGTATAGGATGGGAGAAAGCTAGTTCCAAGGATAGAGGAGATAACGGGGGAAAAGTGGGCCCATGCAGATTTCACACGCAGGCAATTGAGAAAACAGTGATCTATAGCTTCTTTACGGGAACAAAAGGCGCACTTATCTGAGTTGATATATCCCCAATTCTTTAGAGAATCGCGGACCTTAATAGCGCGAAGTACAATTTTCCAGAGTATGTCGTTCCTATGATTTTCAGAATAGTCATCTCGCACTAAATTCCAAAATTTGTCAAGATCAAAGTCAATCAGAAGGGAGGGAGTCCAAAAGCGATGAAGAATTGGAGAGGTGGAGTTTTTCTTCAAGAGAGTTCGATAACATTTCTCGGAAGAAAATTCAAAATCGCACCACTCCGTGCGGGAGAGAATCCCATTTAGAGTGGTGAGAGCCGAGAGACCATTCTTATAATAGGGCGTCAAGACCTGTGTACTCGGGGTGGAGTTATCTCGAAGAGAGCTCCACTCTGAGCGACAGGAGGCAAGCCTGGAGCCTAGAAAATATCTGGCCAAATAAAAGGATTTCGATTCGCGATAATCTAGATTGGAAATTACTGAGGCTAATTTAAGAGAATTACCTTTGATCAGGAAATTCAAAATGCCGAGACCGCCATTGCTTAGAGATTGGTGGCAGGACGCTCGGCTAAACGTTTCAATTCGACAGCCCCAGAAAAATGGCCAGATTAAAGCGTTAACCTTAGAAATGACCCATTTCGGGACACACAAAACTGTAGAGAGATATAGGAGCTTCCTAATTCCGAGAGTGTTAACGATGAACGATCGGCCGACAAGAGAAAGAGAGCGGGATTTCCATAAATTTAGATGTTTTTCTAATTTCTCTAGTTTTGCCTATCAGTTGTCTAATTCAGTATCGCGGCCGAAAACAACACCTAAAATTTTAATTTTTGATCATCCATTTGAGGCCAAGTGGTTGGTCGTTGCGCATACGCCACGCCCCCAATCACATGGCCTCTGTTTTCGTGAGATTAAGGCGTGCCCCAGAGCCACGCTAGTAAATATTAATCATGTTGAATAAAACTTGCAGAGAGCGATAAAATTTCACAATATAGGTCGTATCGTCAGCATAATTTCCAACTTTATAGCGGAGACCATGTGCGCCCGGAGGGAGGAGGCCTTCGATCTCAGGATTATTTCGGAGTTTGCGCGCGAGAGTTTCAACGCACAAAATATAGAGCAGGGGAGACAGGGGATCCCCTTGTTTCGCCCCACAGGTCCTGACCAGTCAAATTGTGAAGGAACACCGTCTTCCTTGACATAAATCCGTCCGTTCATAGACCTCCGTACGCTCTGTTATGACGAAGTCCTTGCCTTCCTCACGACCGATTGCGTGTATCCACTGTTTTCTTATGAAAGGTGCTTTAGGAAAGTTAAAGAAAGAAACCCTTTCTCCTAATGACGATGTGTAACCTTTTTTATTGCATTTGGGCTCGCAGCGGAACGAAAGCATCGCGAAATGATTACACTAAAACAGTGAAAAAAGGACGCGTAGTCAAAACAAAGCACCAGAGGACTGACTAGCCTCGCTTCCACGCTACTAGTACCGGGCCGTCCGAGTGATCCGCCATATTTGCATTCGGTCTATACGTACACAGCAAGTCTAACCACCAACCTAACATACTAAGAAACATCCACGAAGCAGTTAATAAAAGACTTTCTGAAATCTCCTCTGACGAAGACATGTTTAACAAAGCCGCACCTCCCTACCAAGATGCGTTACATAAGAGTGGCTACACATACAAGCTGAACTTCACTGTACTGGAACCGCAACGACCGCACTACCAAACCAAAAGGCGAAGAAACATAATTTGGTTGAACCCACTATTTAACAGAAACGTCCAGACCAACCTTGGCAGAGCGTTCATTAACCTTATGAACAAGTGCTATCCAGTCACCCACAAACTAAGGAAAAGTATCAATAGGAACACCATTAAACTGGGCTACTCGTGCACACCCAATATGAAACAGATCATATACGGGCATAACAAAGCCACAATCAGGAACGAAAAAATGTCTGGAGAAAGCCGCCCCCCAAAATTGAGCAACTGCAGAGACGAAAACGAATGCCCTTTAGGAGGGAAATGTTTGCAAAGCGAGGTTGTCTACCAAGCCACAGTCGCTACCACGGAGGAAACCGAAACGTACGCGGGCCTCACAGCGACAGATTTTGAGACTAGATGGCGCAACCACCGAGTGTCGTTCAACCACTCATCAGTTTCACTGATGAGTGGCTCAACTTTTGTTGGTCTACAAAAGAGGCTGTATTAAAATCCATATGTGCGTAACTTGAGTAGTCCATTTGGTACTGTAATCGCTCCTTCATTGTTGAGCACTGTCCTGGATCCTCTGTTGCTATTTCGTTTATATATATATATATATAGATATATAGAGAGAGGGATTAAACTTGGTGTCCTTGAAACAGTGCTCGTTACAAATAATAGAGCGGGTATAATTTGTGGTAGTCGGAAAAAAACAACTACATATACATCCCTACAGACTTGTTTCGTGGTTGCCCACTCATCGGGGGATTTAAATGGCAGAATAATGCGACACCATCGCTTATATATTACAATAATTGCTAATTAACATGTTTTATGCAGTGTGAAAAGTGTCAAGTCAGCTGTTGAGTATGAGTGCTTTGTTTCTGTGTCGGCAGGAAGAGACGAGTTCGCTCCGCTGGTTGAGTGTTGATAGGTCTGGGTGGCAGATGATTAGGAATTTCTCTTTAAGGCATAGGTTGCATCGTTTGCTTGAGCTGTTTTAGGGCAGGTGGGAAGATAGGATGCGCCAGGTGATGGAATAATTGATGTTGTTGTCTTTAAGTGTCCAGATGTGCTTGCTGAGTTCGGTGGAGTTGCGGTGTTTTGCGTGTCGGAATGATGAAGTGTGGTTGTTGTAGCGCGACGTAAAGTCGTTTGCAGTGGGCCCGATGTATGTGTCTGTCGTGTTGTTGTCTTTACATGTAATGGTAGCTTGGTAT